GAACTTATGAGGATGATATGTGATTTATTTTTAAATATTATAGATTTGATCATGTATTTTAAAATGTAATCCCATGCTAAATATTAATACTAGTATTTTAACAAGTCAAAACTCCAGAAAGAGATTGTTCTGATTGTTTAATGGGTTTGAACTTTAACTATGGGTTAGATTACTTACAAATAAAAACTAAAATCTTGGTTGTTTTCTTTAATTTTTCCACTTACATCAAATAATGCTTTTTTTGTTTTATTGTATGACATTTTAATTGGTAGGGGTATTTTGGACATAGTGTAGTATGCCGTCATACAGTAACTCAAAATGTAAGTCAGCCTGTGATTTTCTCTTTGGGTATAGAATAATTCAAATCCATTATTAAAAAGCAGATAAAACACACTTTCTGAAATGCCTCTGAGTTTCCTCTTAATGTTATGTAATTATGAGAGAATGTTCATATGTATTTGCTTTTTTGTTGGCACAAAACTGAGTGACTTCAGACACCGCACATATTTTCTTTTGGTTCGTGAAGTGCATCAGAGGTTGATGTGCTCAAAAGGTTTTTTTTTAATGATTTGTACTACAGCACAGTGTAGTTTATAGCTGTGCTTATAATACCTACTCATGTGGCAAAGGTTAGGTATCTTGTCTTCTGAAAGTAATAGTAACTAAAACCTTTTCATTTCTGTTGTGTTTTGTAACAACTTAGTATTTTTCCAAAAATTGTAGCTCAAAGTAAATACTTTTCCTGTAAACTAATTTCAGTTTAACATAATAAAAATAGGGAAAACATCACCCACTTAAAAACAGTTTAAATCTCATGTACTCTGTCACTGTAAATAAACAAGGTAAACATTGACATGACTTCAGATCATTTTTGGACTGAAAAAAATCTGCAGTTCAAAATAAATTCTGCCTTTGGTCAACATTTTGGATGCAATTCAAAGTTTCTCATAAAATAAACATATTTTAAAGAGTGTTTTGAATTTCACTGCATAATTTCGAGCCAACAGAAATGACAGTGGTATCTTCAAGGTTTATGATATGTCAGATCAATAGCCATTATGCAAACTTAGCAGGACCGCAAGGGGCAATACCCCCACCACCACTGGGACAGGAAGAAAACCTCCCATAGATAGTCCCTGGGAAAACTCTCCACACAAAACTTTTGTGTTTGTTTAATAAGAAAAGTATTTCTTTCTGATAAACTAGAGAGTAAGCTGAGTTTTAGTCAGAAAAGCAAAATGTTCATTAAAAGGATCTGAACCAGAGTTTTTTCACAAAGGGGAGCTTTACATCTGCATAATAACAAATTGTTTCAAAGCATGAGCTTGAAATGAAAATGCCCCATCAGAACAGATTGTAAATTTTTTTTTCTGCTGCTTTTAAAAGTGCCTCGATCATTTGTAAGGCTTCCTGCTAAAGTATTTGCTATTTTATTTAAACATTTTTTGAAAAATGAACATTCTGAGGCTTTGCAGCATTATTAAGAAAAGCTGTCCATACTTTCCCATGTTGTTGAATGTGTTTATCTGCTGATTATAAAATGTGTTAAACAGTATTTTAGAAACAACAAAACTGCAGCGCTGCGCTTTGATTAATTCAGTGAACAAAGCATATGCTGCCGGTTCTGTCCCATGGAAGTCGGGTTTGATCAATAAAATCTTGCAAAGAGCAACTCTGGCATTTAGGAGCAGACTGCCGACCATGAGTTTTGTCCCTGTTAGCTCTGGGCCCCCGCTGCTGCCTTAGCCAGAACCCTCTGACTGTGATACTCACGCCTGCTGCACTCCTGCCCTCTTTCTGACTTTTCTGCAGGTTGGAAGCTGTGTACTGTGGCTGTTACCCACTTTGTCCCAAAGCCTTGGTTTATCCTGAAATATTTCCAGGTAGCTGTTTTCATGTGCTTTTTCTTTGCTGTGATTTACTACAGGATTCATGCTAAACTAAAAGTTTGAAAATAAGTAGGAGCAATTGTTTATTTGGCAAGTCAACATGTTAGTGTTAAGGAAAATTTTATGTGTTTTAATACAGTAGAGTAAGCTTATATTTACCATCTGTTCTTTTAAGATAACAAAAAAGCAAGTTTTCAAATAGCATTCTTTATTGTTAGCACACACATCTCATAACGACGGGTTTTTATAAGCAGGTCAGTACGGCTGCAATTGCTAACAGATTTTTTTTTTTTAAATGATACACATAGAGAAAATTCAAGGATTGAAAGGCGTCCCAAATTCTTTAAACAATTGACTAGTTAATAATATGCAACTGTTGTACAGAGTACGTACAGCTACAGCGCTGGTTCTCTGAAAAATTCTCATCACTAAATATATCACATATGCATTGTGCTACATTAGAATAATGTATTTTAATCACCCAGAGGAGATGTCTAAACAGCACAACTACACAGTCTTATTTAGCATTAAACATCCTTGTGAGCTGAGGTAACCTTATAAAACCATGCTTAAATAATGTACAACATGAGGCGGCGCAGAGCAATATGCATTTTTAATTAGTAAAGTGACTAATATCGAGTGTGTGCTTTGAGGTTTTTGTTTCATTAAAAATGTATCTGTTTTTCCTGCAGCTGAGTATCTGTATTCCACACCTGAACAGCTTTCAAAACGGCTCAAGAGTTTCTGCAAGAGACCAGATATTATAAGAAAACATCTTTATAAGGTAGCTATTGAGAAGAAATTTACATGATAGAAATACCACATTTAAGTACAAAGAAAATTTAAAAAAAAACATCTAATTAACATACTAATGTTTAAAGGAAACATGCTAGGGAGGGGTATTGGTTGTTACACTAACAAGGATTAATTAAACTGGATGCCAGTTGTATTAACCTAGGTCTCAGGAAATACGTGCACTTCATGCACAGTACATGCTTTCTTTTTAATTTATTGTTTTCTAAGATGACTGTCCTGTACATTTAGCCCCAAGAGGCTTATAAAAATGAACCTGGATTAATGTAACTCATTAGTTTAAAAGGAACTAAAGGAAAGATTCCACAATTATACTAATAAGAATAAGCCTTTATTCCCATCATAATGAAATCTTAAATCCTCAAAAATTTAGGTGAATGACGTTAGTGAAATTTTCTGTTGGCTTTTGAACTACTATGGAGATACCTTTCGAAAGTTGTATTTGAGTTTAAAAGGAGAGATAAAAAGTTCTTGCATTTAGAGTCAAGTCCCTGGGTCTCAGCTCACAATGTTAAGGTTCATATAAGTAGTGTGATGAGCAGTCATCTCTCCCTTACCTGAGTCAAGCATCTTACACTGCTGAAACAGCACAAAGAGCCCCGACTAAAAGTATAAGTAACTGAAGTGGACTCTGCTTTCTGGGTTTCAAAGGTGGCTCCGGGCCATGAATAATTCACCTTCTTATGTTCTTTGACAATAATATCTTCATCTTCATAAGGTTAGCATAGTTTACAATCTAGTACCTTTATAATCCAGAAACTTTGAATTTTCTATGCTAATATATAACCTTCAGCATGAAATATGCTCCTCTGCCTTTTCTCTCTGTTTCAAGGCCTAAAATACATGTTTACATAGTGATACATGAAAACATGACTTTATTTCTCCAGGAAACAGTTAAACTTCAGCAAAAAGGGAGAGAACCAAAAATGCAATTTAACACCCAATTTCAAGCTCATTATCTTTCATTGTCTATTAACTTGGCAATGGTTCAGAAGGTAGCTCATGATAGTTTAAAATGCTGACTGCACAGTTCCGGGCTTCAGTGTTGCTCCCTTAGTCGATACTGTTGCATCATGTGTGTGAAGCCCCCAAAGAGTGTGGGCCTCCAAGGTTTGCTCCAGTGTGCACTGATTTCAAAGTTCAGTGGTAGTTCTGTTCATGTACAGCATGCATCAGTAAGTCTGCCATGGAATAAGCAGGCAGAACATGAAGATTATCCAAATTAAGGAAATGGAAGAAGTTTTGCTCTAAGTGAATTCATGTTGTATTTGTGATGTGAACCTATTTCAGTTGAGTTCAGTTAAAATTTCAACTTTTTGTTACGCTGCAGGAAAATTTTTGATGAAATGTTTAAAAATATGTTATAGCATCAAAATGTATTTGTTTCAATGCAGGTCAGAGTCAAGCTCTGTTAGCTCTGTTAGGATCTGGGTCTTCAACTGTTTCACAAGGTCCTGCAACAGTTGTCTGTAGTCATAAAAGGAAACAGATTTCTAGCTGACCTTTTTCAATAGAATTACCACCCTCCTGGGATATAGTGTTTATCTCACAAATAAATAGAGAATTTCTAAAGGAATGTTAGCTTGGTATATGATGTTAATATATAAAATTCCTCAAGTACTTAAAAAATAGCTCATAATTGAACTGCTACACTTTAGCTCTGACAGAAAGATCTAGTTTTTCCCATGACAAACCTTGCAACTCAGTGTTCTACAAATCAGTGATCTATAAGAATTATTACATGTATATTTTAAATATTTTTGCAGTGCATTTTATTTTGAATCTATGATATGGCTTTATTTGTGTCCTCATTGATAGATATTAGTGAGATTGTATCTAAAAATTATTCTCAAAATTTAAAGAAATGTATCTAAAATTATTATAAGTAATTGAGAGCTTTAAGACAAATGGTCCATCAAGAGGCACTGGATGAAAAACCCTAGGAATGGTCTCAGTTTTGATTTGTTATAGTAAAATAGGTCATATGAGTAAGAATGAATGTATCCGAAAGATAGCATAAATTACAGCCCTTTTCTCAATTCTGTCTTGTTCATGTCCCATTCTCAGGTAGCATTTGCTGTCACTGGATAATGGAGACTTATTTCCCTCCAGGACAGCCTTGCTTATATATCTTATATAATAGCAAAGGACTTTTTGTGCCTTTGTAAAAAGAATGCTTTGTGAAAAGAAGGGATGTTTTAAAATCTTTTCTTCTTCTTCTTTTTTTTTTTTTTTTTTTTGTTATTTCTTCCATTGGGCAGTTCTGTTTTGCTTTTATAAAGCATATGCTCCTAAGATCTAAAAGGACAGAATGTCACTGGATTCCGTAGTTTGTTCCTTTTACGTTTTACACCTTTTCTTGTTGTTGTTAAAGGTTTATGTTTAAAAATCATTCCAGCTTCATACATTTTGGGTGTATCTTAGGATAGACTTTTTCATATGGATTCACACTTAGAAATGTAATAACTGGGATAAAACTATTAACACTTGGCTTTTTCTTAAATGAAATATTATACATTCAGTATGACTGAGAGCTTGGGAGCTGTGACTTGCAGCAGGATTTGAACCAGACACAGAACTGATTCGTTCTTCGTGGTATTTTTTTGTTTCTTAAAATAACTTTCTGCATTTAGAACTCTGTGACCTCTTCACCTGAATGATTTCAGACCTGAGAGATTTAATTCTTCATAACTCTAAATATATATATATATATATATATGTGTGTGTGTGTGTGTGTGTGTGTGTGTGTGTGTGTATATATATATATATATATATATATATATATATATATTCCCTGTCTATCTCTCACACAAACGCATATACTTAAGATTATTGGAAAAAAAATATAGTACATATAAAAAAATTAATGTTTCTTAATGATGTTTTGTTTTGTTTTGTTTTGTTTTGTTTGAGACAGGGTTTCTCTGTGTAACCTTGTCAGTCATAGACTTGCTTTGTTGACCAGGCTGGCCTTGAATTCACGGAGATCCACCTGACTCTGCCTCCCTGAGTGCTGGGATTACAAGCATGTGCCACCGTGCCTGGATGTTTCTTAATAATCTTAAAAATCTAAAGCCTTTTTTATGGCTTCAAAAACCTAAAAACCACTTCTTAAAAAGTTTATATGTATGAGTTACATGCAAGTTTTCACTTTAACTTTCTTCTAACATTAAGCGGTGTCTTGCTCTAGGTAGGAAATTACACTAACCATGTACTTCCTTAGGAAAGAAGTTTTAATTTCACTCCCAGTAAGAGCTCCTCTAGACCACTCAGCCTATTGTAAACAAATCTCTAGGAGAATTCATAAGACAGACAGAGCTATATGAACTTTCTACAGTTCCTTTTCACAAGCAAGTCTGGACCAAAAGTTGTACTTTTTTTCCTTGATTTTAATCTGTGATTCACTGAAATACTCTTAACAGTTGGGTGAGACTAGCACTTTATGTTTTTAAATAACTTGTGTTTCTTTTATTTTAAAATACTTTGAAAAAAGAGATGGTCCCTTATTATCGGTATTGAAACTAGAGCAAGACCATGAGGGAGCTGGTATGTGAGGTGGACAGCACCTGGACTAACCTCAGAGGCTTCCTTTCCATCCTGTTCCTCACTGGCTTTCATTTGTGGACTGAGCAATGTGGGGAGGGTGGGAGTGTGTGTGTGGGAGTGAGTGCATCTGTATGTGTGTGTGTATGTTTATGTTTGTGTGTGCATGTGTCTATATGCGTGTGTGTTTGTGTGTGCTTGTCTATGGGGGAAAAGGAAGACAATCCTTTTACTTTTTGAGAGTGACCTATAGTTTCTTAAGGTTTTCAGCACATAACTGTTGATTTTCACTCTGTCCTTTCTAAGTTTTTCAATAGTTCAGACCTATAAAATCTATTATTTGAAGGAAAGAATTTTCAAATTTTTGTCTAAAAACTAATTCCAAACAGTGATTACCCTTATGAAGCGGACTCGATGCCCAGAAAAGCCATTTGTAGTTGTCTTCATTATGTCAAGCTGTACCCATCCAAACCACAGCCATGCTGCATCTAAGTTCCCCTCACAAGACAAGGAGTCTCCCGGCAGCATTAGCATTACTCTAAAATTTTAACTTTTTCCTAAGAAAATGAAGATTTATAAAATCTTACAAAATCTCTAAGCAACACCTACAAAATGTAATGCAAATGCTCAGTCTTGAGCTCTTTCCTTTTTCCTCTCCTTCTCTACCCCTGATTTTATGTGATTTGACTCAGCTTTGGTCGGTTCACCTTGGTTCAGCTTTGTCTTTTTTCATAGGTAGTTCTTGGCCTGTGCAGATCTAGATTTTTTTTTCAACCGTAATAGCATTTTCCCCTGAGGAAGTGCTATAATGAAATAATGAATAAAACCCATTTGGAAATGTAAAGCACCTTATAAATTCCATGCACTAGTAAAGGCATTTATCGTGTGTCTTTGCTGCTCAAGAGCAACATCCACATTGATAAAGCTGTGTACTGAGAGCACTGTATACCTTCTGTGTATGAAAGTTAGGAGGCAGGTGGTAAACTTTCCTAAGAGCAGTCATCTGTGGCATAAAGCAGGGAATGTGTGCATTGTCCCAGGGTGCAAACTGTTTCCTCTCACAGTGACACAAACCACTCAGAAGCCAGGCTTGCCTAGGGTGAGAGAACTTGGGGGGTTGGGGGTGGTAGTTGGAGAAATGAAGCAAGTTTGCAGTATGAGTTTCAGCCTTCTCTTGTTTCGCGGCCTGTGCTTGTTCACTGCTCTCTAATCTCTCCCTCCCCCTTGTTCCAGGGTGAAGTGGCTCCATTTTCTTGGGCAGCCCTGCATGGTAAATTCAGGTCTCTGCTCACAACAGAACCCAGGGAAGATCTGTGACAGATGGGGCTAAGTCACAAACTTGCAGCCTAAGGCAGAATCTGAAGAACTTTCCAGAGTGTGCCCATATTTACCTGATCAGAGAGAAAAGAAAATCTGCAGAGGAAGCCGAGCCTGGCTGCTTGTCATAGCTGACACAGAGCCATCTGCCACAAACCTGTGGCGGCTTCAGATCTCCAATCCCTGCCACCACCCCAACTCAAATTAAATACAGATTCCTAGAGACGTTATGATGCTTACACATGTCCTCGGCATCACATGGAGGAGACTGTTCAAAAAAAATATGTGGCCTGTTGTATAACCGCACTCATGTATCCCATATGTGGTGCCACATTGAATTTCCGGTTGAATCCGTTTTTATCCTTTGTACTGGATGACATGGTGCCTGAATTCTTTCTTTCTGCCGACACGATGGCAGCCAAACTGCAGCTTCAAACACTCACACTTGGCTGAGTTTCCACCTGGGTTGCCAGGTTATCATCGGAGCCTTCTTGTGTCCTCAAAGGGCCACGGGGCCTAGAAAGAGGATCAGAATGCTACTGAACTAATTGGGCAGCCATCTCAAAGCTGCTGTAGGCAAAGGGCTGCTTTAGCACTTTTCTTTTAGCAAATTAATGACTCTCTGGCAAAGGACTTTTTAAGTGAAGGTATTAATAAGGGGTCTGGCAGGTATTCCCATGATTCACAGAGTTTCATTTGCATTTAATTAATCTTAAAGAAACTTGCAAGATAAACAGCTGTAATTCGGACAAACATGGCAGATTCAGTGAGTGAGGTCCTCTCATCCATAAAATGAACACAAGATACTTGTCTTAAATTTTTTTCCCCTGTGGGTAAAAAATAGAGAAATCAAAATGCTTCTAACAAAAACATAATTTGGTACAAATCTCTTCAAAAGTATTTGTATCCAACTATAAATATACTCTTTTTGAAATAAGTCATTTATGATTCTTGTAGTCAAGCTGCTCTGTTTGTTGGTGTAAAGATGTTTTAAATGGCTGAATTGTAAAATAAATTTTTAATAAACTGCCCGCTGCAATTTTAATTAGCATATTCATTTGTGTTTAAGTGTGTGCACCTATCTGTGTTTCTTACTGAATGTTTCCTTGTGTCAGAGAAGACAGAATACAATTGTCTCTTGTAAGGATGAACAAGGATCTGTGTTGCAAATGTTTGTTACATATTATGACATTTCCAAGACTTTCTTTGCATTCTGGAAAGCAGGAGGTAAACATTTGTAGTCATTAAGGTAAAGTCTGTTGATAAAACATCTTCTGTTTACTAACAGGTAAATTGTAGCTTCCCTGGCTATTGAAATGAATAGCTTCTATATACTGCAGAGTGAGGACAAGCCAGAGAGAGGTGACTAGACAAGGGCCAACCCTGGGTCTCTGGAGGAGCTGGGTGGTGGTCTAACAAGCATCCAAGATGGAGCAGATGGTTGCACTGAAGTCCTACAGAGCCCATGTGATAGGTATCAAAATAGAAATCAGAAGATCAATCAGGGTTAGGGAGCCACACACAGTCCTCAGGGTAAAGGCAGTCATGTAGATCAGTGAACCAGGAATGAAATTCCTAAGATCTGCAATTTCAAAGCAGGAAATGGGAGTAGCAGCAGAAACAGAAAGCTGTCGATGAGAACCATCTACTATGAGAACCATCACATGTGGGGACCACTGTGCCTCCACACAGGTTTCTTGTCTTTGCCTATAAGGAAGCCGCCGGACGAGGATACCCCACCCCACCCTGCACATGAAATAGAGGTCTCGGAAACTCTCAGAAGTCCCTGCTTGCCTAAGACTTTGGAATTCAGAATCTAGTTGGGATGGTATATTTGCAAGCAAAACAGAAGCTATCATTGTAAATAAGGAGCCCGCAGACACATCTCCTGGCCAGGTTTTACTTTATACCCTCTATTGAAATAATCCAATCAAAAGATGCTTTTCACAAGTAGCCAAGAAGGAATGGTTAGTTTCTCTGGTTTTCTTTGATGTTTTTTAACTGGTTAGTGGGAAGAAATTAAATATCCTCAGAGAATGTGATGTGTCCCAAATATTTAAATATTCTTCTGACTCTTTTTTTTTTTTTTTTCCAGATAAGGTCTCCATTTCCCCCAGTTTATCTCACACTCACTATGCAGCCCACATTGACCTTGAACCCTTAGACGTGCAGGTGTGCACTGCTGTGGCAATGCTGAGGGATTAGAACCCAGAGCTCTATGCTAGGTGTTGCTAGGGGCCAACCAAACTACACCCCTAGCCCGATTTTCACGATTTGGGACAACCGTAATGACAATAGTGCGCATAACTTGTGCACGGCTTGTTTCCTTCCCTCGTAAATTCAGATCCGCTTCTGCCTTTAGCTGGACTGCGTCATTCCCTGCAGCTCACACTATAGCTGTCACTTACGAAAACTGTCCATTCACATTCAGTAACTGTGGCACGATGAGCGTGCTTCTAACAAGCTAGCCAACACTTTAAGTTGGTGAATAAGTGGGAATAGAGTCGACTCATCATTGTTTTAGAAGAAAGGCTAAATAACCCCAGTGCTTTTCACTAAGTTGGGATTTTTGTCTTTTTTATTTGTTTTGTTTTCTTTTGTTTGGGAACTTTTGTTTTTTTATAAGCAATTCTGCCTTTAAACATTTTTAAAAGTTTGTCCATTCTCAAAAACCTGATTTTTATCTACTCTTTGTTTCTTTTAACAGGTAATAGGATATATAGTTCTTAACCTCATCATTTACACCATATTGATCAGGATATATCAAAAGACGATCAGAACATTCCTCTTTGGTAGGCATCTTTCAAATACAGTTACATCCAAATGCCCTGCTCTTTTTCTCAAGTCTTCAGGCATGCTTCATACAAGGGACAGTAAGACCCATAATAAAATGGAAACTCTTAGCCATACAAGGCTTCATGGATTAATTTCAACACCTTGAAATGCATCTGGAAGCAAAGACTTCATTTTATGTTGAAAGTGTTAATTATATTTGATATTTTTAAAAGTAAAATCTGTTTTTGAGAAAGCATCTGCTACCCAGAAATATCATGAGCCACAAAAAAGATTTCATGTAAGCCTCAAGATACTTTCCATGGGTGATGGAATCAGTCTTCGAATGTGTCCCTGATGTCCTTTATTGCTGACATGCTCTATGGTTCTTATTCTTCTATGGAAGAATAAGTTAAAAAGTCTCACCTTAACTTTCTCTAACTCCAGCAGAAATCTGGAGTGTTCATTATCGGATGTGATACCTAACACTGAAGAAGGTATATCATAAAGATCACACTAGATGTGTTTCATCTTAAAACCTGAATTGAGACATAGGACATCTTCCCTCAAAGCATTCATTAAAATGCACCTGAGAAAGTTTTAAAACAAGCAGTTCTACCTGCTCTTCAAAAAAGGTAAATCTATGATTAAAAGATTGCTCAAAAAGGTGAGACTTGGAGCCAACTTTACAAGTGTTCTTTGGAGTTTTGGGGGAAGGGCAACAAACCTGCAGCCGAGGCTCATTCTGTGATGGACAGGCTCCTCTGCACTGGGTAGACACTGACTCGGAAAAGTTCATTATTACTCTTGATTTCTGCCTCTGTATGCTTTTTTTTGGTGGGGAGGGTGGGTTTGAGACAGGGTTTCTCTGAGTAACAGCCCTAGCTGTCCTGGACTCGCTCTGTAGACCAGACTGGCCTTGAGCTCACAGAGATCCACTGCCTCTGCCTCCATGAGTAGTGGGATGACAGGCGTGCTCCATCAGGCCCAGCTTTTCTTCATGCAGCTTAGATGTTATCATTGCTGTTATTATGGATGTCCCTTTTTCTTGGAGCTGTAAACTCTTTGGAAAGAGTGTGGTAAGGGCTGCTGCCCACTAGCTTTAACATTTATGACTTCCTAAAACAACTAAGTCAGGAAAACATTATTTTTCCACAGTAAGTGGTCAACGCTGCTCATAAGCTACTAATTATGCATGAGGAGATGTCCCTTTCCTTACGAGGAGCCAAAGACTTCACTTTAACCTCCACACAAACCAGATTATGGGTAAAGCCAGATTTTACTATCCATGGCTTCCCTGACTACCTTGCTTTTGTCTTGAGCATCCAGAGATCTTAGCAGCATCCTGGTTTCCTGTTTCCAGGGCTCTTCCATCTGACTTTCAACCCCAGAAGCTCTGAACTGATGGCTTTAAGAGATAATCTATAATGCTTCTATGACTCCCTATCAGCTACCAATTTAAAGACATGATGTAGAGCGCTTGACACAACTTCTACTGGGAAAACATACTGGTATGACATTTGTTTTAGAATGTGAAGTCATTTGTATTTGAAATTTTAACATTCCCAGTATCAATTCACAACTGAGAACCAGAATACCTGACAGCTACAGAAAGAGAGGATTTGGTCTTTGAAGAAACACCAAGTTCAGGTTGCACTGCTCGGTCAGGGCTCTACTTTGGTTTTTCTTCCCTCCGGACAAAAGACAGGCCCCAGGATGATGCCAAGAAGCACAGGAAAGACCGTGAAGTGTGGACAGAATTTTACGTATTTTTATGCTTGTTTTTATTTCTTCATTAATTTATTTACTTGTTCATTTTATTTTATGATTGTTGTTATCCAGCTTTTAAGGGGGCATTGAACGTGCATGGTTTCTGTCGCTCTCTACCATTCTCTGTATTTTTATATTGTGCTGGATTCATCTACGTGGGGAATTCATTGGTTTTCTTGTCAAGCATTTGTCTCTATGGCCTCTCAATTAAATTTGCTCATGGGAAACTGGAGCCCTAAGGGGACAGTGTGCTTGCTTTAGGGCCCCTGGAGGCAGAGACACATCTGTGACTCATATGTTCCCAGGCTCTTTCCTGAGTGTAGTTCATTCCATTGGTCAAGTCTTGTAAAAAAAAAAAAAAAAAAAAAAAAAAAGGGAAGTAGGAAGCATGTGTCTTCAACTATTGGCTTGCTGTGTTCTCCCATCTCTGGCTGTCAGAAGCATGGAGCGGTAAGTTGCCAGTACTTTACAGACATACCCCATGCTTTTTATGACCATGTCTGCATTCTGAATGAACAGAAGGAGGGCAATGCAGAAACATTGAGTGGCACCTCTGAATGGCACCTGCGGTGTTTCTGAACTGACTCTTGTCTGTTGCCTTTAAAATCTACAAGGAGGAAGTTGCTCATCCACATGATGAAAGCTGTGGAAGGCAGGCCCCCATTCTCTCAGAGGGCCAGGGCTTCCAAGGGCGGCACCTTCAGTTTCACAGTGCTAAGCCTGCTTCCTCTCATCTGCCATAGATAACCAAGGAACAGCATCCGGAAATGAATTTCCCTGGGAAGAAAGAATGGAGGAGTAACTTAAAAAGAAGCAACTTCTGATATGGTATTAGACTCCAATTCATAGGGAAATTTATGCCTGAGATATGAATTTCTGAAAATAGAGGGCTTTTTTTTTTAGAGGAAAACACTGACACATCCTTAATTATAGAGTAATAAATACCAATGGCATATTATCTTCTGATATTTCCTTACACAGATATCAAAGCGTGCAGCTGTTTTTGAAAACTGATAATCAAGTACAATGTAAGTCTATTACATCTTGTTCTTACAGCCCGCCCTCCGCCATGCAGCGCTCTGGAGGACTGAACAGTGAGAAGCAGAGCCGATCCTAGCAGAAACCTAACTGAACAAATTAGCTTTGAATTGTAACTTAAGAATTGTAGTCAAACCAAAATGCCTGTCCTTGCCAGGAAAGGCATTCCAAAGAGCATGCCAAGAAAAAGCTGTTGCTTCGGGATTAAGGAGCAGTTCTGAAAAGCCCAAAGAACTTAGTGATCAATCAGGGAAATACAGAGCAGTAACTACACAGCCCGAGGATGTATAAAACTTACAGAGCATTAATAGTGGAGTGGAGACAGAGAATGAGATTTTTTTTTTTTTACCAAAAAGTACTAAGCTCCTAGCTCCATTTTTTTTCCCTTTAGTCCAGGCAGCAGAGAGAAAGAATTCCAGGCAAAGAAAAGTATGTGGACAAATGTGGGGGGTAGAAGAGGAAATG